CAAGATAATCACATGGAGTTAAAACAAGACTAAACATCTTTTGTTTGTTCTTATAAGTACCAAAAGGCAATTATCTATCAAGCACGAACCTGTATCCAAACCAAGAAGTTATAATCAACAACCTTCGTATCAAGTTTCCAGAGGAAAATTGCAATTAAAAAAAGCTCATTAATTATGATGAACCACAGCCAACACATGACAAGATAAGAATACTTGAAACCGAATTTTGGTGTCAATTTGATTAACTCCATGATCATGATACCCAGAGTAAAGCTGGTTGGAAGGTTGAGCATGAGGAATTTACATAATTAGGGGTAAGAAACTAAAATATGCCAAAAAATCTGAGTAAGAAAAGCTACTACAAAGCCACAACATGCCGGTCGAAGGTCGTAGTAACATATTAAAGGAATGAAACCCTAAAGTAGGCTTTAAGGACATTGACTACAGTCCCAAAGGTAACACAGTTAAAATTCGTAGGTCAATTTGTCTCTGTCCCAGTGAGTGAACAAAGCACTATCATATATTCCCAAGAAATAACTCGAGGTTGTACTAGATCTCCAAAAAGGAAAATTATTCTGAAGCATCATGAACAGTTCGAAAACAAAATAGAGCATTTTCTTTCCAATTCCGTCCTTGTAACAATCCACGGTGATACAAGCCAGAAGGCCCAAAATTTATGACATATAAGGCCAGAAAAGTCAGAAAAACCTCGTGATTGCCGTCTGATACCGCAAGCACGAGCTAATCCTACAAGTCTCACATTAAAGTATCAAGCTCGAGCGCAATGCCGTCAAATTGTCGACACGTAGTTCAGCCATGGAAGTCTACATCGATAAATCGACCACTGTTACAGCATCCTCTACAGGAATTGGTCTATATTTGGAAATCCCAAATCATTAGCGAACAGCTAGAGGAGACGAGGTAAACAATTCTGCTTTCAAGCATAAAGAGACACAGTGACGAAACAGTGACGAAGTCAAATTAAGCAAAATAAACTAAGGAAAGGAAAGAAACCCAAGACGGTGGTAAAAGCGGCGGATGGGAAGTCGGTGAATCTAACAGTAACCCGCAACAAAAAAGGAAAGAAATAATTCCTCGGATAATATTACCAAAAATGAGATGCCAAACGATTCCCGCGTGGAGAAGAAAACAAGAAAAAGAAGGAAGCGACGAACCATCCAGAAACTCCTATCCAATTGAAAGAGGGAAATGGAACGAAGCACTCCAAGATCTCCGCGTCTTACCATCGCATACCGATCCTCCACCGTCCGCCGTGGAATCAAAGAAGCCCACCTAAAAATGCCGCAATCCTTCCCGCAGCACGGCACCGAGAGAAGCCACGCTAGGATTCGAGCCCCCCTTCCCTTACTCCCTCACGAAGAAAACGAAGAACGAAGTATGCGGTCGGGGGCCGCCGCCGAGGACGAGGAGGAGGAGATTCTCCGGGGAAGATGGGACGTTTTTCGGCGACGAGGGGGAGGTTTCTCGGCCGGCGGAGAAGACGAGGTGTGGAGGCGGGGGCGGACGGGATCTGAACAGTGCGGAAAGGGAGAGGCGAGTTCTCGGAGAACCGGTCACAAGGAAAGAAGGCACCTTCTTACAATTACCCCGCAAAATATTATTGCTCCCAACAGCAATTTAATTCCGTAATATTAAAATCCCATGGAAAAAGAGAGGAAGCGGTAGTTGTTGGTGGTTCGACCGAACGCCATTCCTGACGGAACCGTGTTTCTCTGAAAGTACATATTTACCCCTACCCGTTTGCCTGTTTCTCCAAAAGACCATCGTAAATGCCCTTCATGTCCAAGGGTATTTTGATAAACTCGGAAGAGTAGACCACGGGTTGTTGTTCCCAGACCGTGGGCGGTTGAGGTGGACCCCTGCGGTAACTGGCAGTTCGAGTCGGAAAACCGCCGACGCCAGGGGGGCGCAGCAGGCCAGGTGGCGTACGGCAGCGCTCCGTGATGCCATCGCACGGCGTGCGGTCTCGACAGACGCCCGGTTCGGAGTTGTCGCGTCACGGCTCGGGCGCGTAGGCGGCGGGGTTGCCAGTGGGAGCATGAGCTGGCGGTCCGGAACGGACTTGATTGATTGACGGCGTCACCGACTCCCGTGACCGCCAGTTTCATGGTCTTCCAATGTTCCACGCGCCTTTCTTTTGTCCTTTCCTTCACGAGTCTGGACCACCGCCGGTGAGCGTGGCGTCGGGTGCACCGTGGGACTTTACTGGGTCAGCAAGCGGTTCTCGGTGTCGAACCGGCGGCTCGGGTCATACCCGGAGCAGCGCCGAGCCACGGTCTGCTTTGTTTAACTGGTTTGGGTTCGGAACGCGGTTCGTACACGTGCTTTCGATGAGGAATCTTGTGCGTGCGTTGGTGTGGTATTATCTCACGCGCACGGAAAGTGGTGTGGTTGGCTCGGTCGGTGACGTGCTTCAGGTTGGGTTGGTTTGGTTTGGGCAACTAAACCAATAAGCAACGGTGCCTCCTGTCTCTCCATTACTAGTGTCTCGTAGATGACATCAATGTTAGAGACTCCAGAAAGGGTTGACTAGATTCGAATGAGAGTAAGAGATTGATACGGGGGAGTGATGTGACACAATTATTTGGCATGATTAGTAAACCCTATATGTCCGTTGACTTCTCAGGACTGTGGAGCAAGTGGGTCAATGTGGGTTGGGACATGAGCTATGTAGATCTTATTTCAACTGTGGGAAACCGCGTTTTTTATTGTGGCCCGTTGATTTGGTTCAAACCTGAAGTTTCAGATCTTGTTTTAATTGTGACTAAAAAGTACTTATATCAGAAATCATCTATGAGATGAGTTCTGCTAATATCCAATGAATTCAATTCACTCGTCTTTGTCGAAGTCCGTTAGACCAAGTCAAACAGCACGCGATGGTTGACTGCAGCGAGGACGTGCATCTACGGAAACCTGTAGATAGATATGTTGAAGAGGTCTTGGGTGTACGAGAGCCTTCCTCCTTTTACTTTTACGTTTTCCACGGTGGTTTAGGGTGGAGGCGATGGGAAGAAGGCGTCCACCTCACAGAGACGGAAGTCTTCCTCATGACTGCTGCCACACAAGGAAAAAGAGCAAGCAAGAGAAGCCCACCACCACATCCTTTAGGTCGAAGCTTTGGATGCCGTCCGCCCTTCCCCATCCTGTTCCTTTCTTTTATCTTCCATTGTATGCAACAAAAGATTCCACTGGACTTTGGGATCACAGACATGGTTTGAGTCGCCACAAGATGTTGGCATGGGGGGTGAGAGTTGCAGGAGTCACATCGGGGGGACACAGGTGTCCGACTCGCGAAGATTGTGGTCAAAATTCAAACTTGTAAGGTGGGACGAAATAAGAAGCAAAGCTTACGATTCTGTCATGCCCAACCACACACGGTCATCTAGAAGAATGGAAGCTTCCTCGTGCAGGAAATGTTAGGTAAAATCGTTGAAGAAGTCGTTGGGCTTGTTGCTACACATTTATTTTTTGGTCCTTTTTTCTTTTTCCATGTGAGGTGCGATAGAAAAGGAAAATAATCATTTGAATTTTCTTTTTATATGAGTGTCAAATGCTTTTTCTTTACGTGGAAATGATCAACAAATTTATTGGTTCGATTTTGATTTCGATTCAAGTAAACAATTAAACAATGGTGCTTTAAATCTTTAATTTTGATAAATTATCAGATCAATATTTTAAATATAAAAAAATATATTTCAAATGACGTCAACGTTTTGCTTGGTAAGTAGGTTTAGGGAATTCCAAATAGATCTGATATGACACCATCAAATCAATATCTTAGGTATGAGAAACAAATTCATATTTGTAAGATTAAATTAGTGCATGACGCACATGAACTTCCAATTTGAGATATCATATATAAGATGGATTGGCCTCCTCCCTTTATTATATTTTAATTACAATTGCAAATACCAAATGCATATATGGTTGTCAAATATCAAACCCGCAACTACTAAGGAAATATTCTTGCAATCAAACACTTGCATTGTTACTATCTGTTTCTTGGTCAGCCATGAACCATGGATGTACATAGCAAGCTTGGCAAGGGACCTTCTCCTGTCACCTACAGTGAACCTGAGGCTGCCCATAGCCCAATATGTGATTTATTGGGCCGTTAATGGGTCAAAAACTATACCTTACTTTTATTCTCGGAGTATGTTTTTATTTTCTAAAAGATGAAATTACTCGTGATCTCTATCTTGTCGATCGTTGGGTTCGTCACCCACTATTACTCTCTCGCCCTCATCACCGTCACTAAAGAACATAATTTGTTTGCTTCATCACTTCTCTTCGATCATGACAATAACGTTTATAGTAGCGACGATCACCTAATCTTCCTTCGATGCCTATGCCCTCCTCTCTCTCTCTTCCTCGTATTTGGGACTAAAAAAGATTGAACAAATATATTATTCATTGAAATACATAGGGAATAAGTTTGCTTAATCAACAAAAATAAAAATATTTATGAAATCAGAATTGATTGCTCCTCCTTCTCCCCCTCTGTGTTTTTAGATTTGTTTTAGCTGCCAAAGTTACAAAGCAGGTGACTCTTCCACCTCTACGAGCAGGAAACATGGTATTTGCATCAGGTAATTCATCTTTCTTCACTAATACATGTTGCTAGAAAATAGCCCATGCAGCATAGGATCACACACAAGTTTGATATTTGATATCCTTCAGATCTCTGATTTGACTGTATAATCTGACGATGAGAAGTTCATGTATAATGCAAGAACAGAAGCATTTTGATGCATATATTCCATGTATCAAGTTCAAAATACATGTGGCGATGATGAATCAAATCAGCTGCTGCCGACGGTAGCAGAACCGAGCAATTGACATGCATAACAGTAGCATCTTTGCAGGTGCAAAATTCTAACTTGATCACCCACAACTTTGACTCAGTCGAGGGAAGGTAGGAGGAATTCGTCCAACATCCCTGAAACTTGGCATGATCTGATTAAAAGATACGCCCTCTGTTGTGCAAATGAGCCAAACTTTCAACCCATGTCAATCTATCAAGACGATCTCAAGACGATCCGAACGGGACGGACAAGATGGCCCCTCTTGAAGATAACATGACACTGTGTCACCATCCTCCCTCTCAACCCACGGACACGGTTGTTCGACGGCACCCCTCAGCGGGCTCCCTTGGTCCTCCACGGCCGCAGCTTCCCTTAAGCCAAGCTCCTTCTCCAAGTACTCCAACCATTCACCGTCATTCCCTTCTCTATTTGACTCCTCTTCCACTGCAAAGGAATTGTTCGACTGAAGTCCCTCCCAGGTCAACGAGCATGCATCCTCGTCCTCGATCATGCTCCAAATATCCGGATCGATGAGCACGTCAGGAACAACCTCCGGGTCGACGCCATGATTCATGGCGGAGAGTTCTGTCGAAGAAGCGCTTGATATGATCATGGTGCTACCGCGCGGTTCTTCATCCAACATGCTCCACAAGTCCACGTCGGGCTCGATGGGGATCTCGATCACTTCGAGCGAGGAGTTGTGGGAGTGCAAGCATGGATTGTTCTGTTCCCCGTTGCTCTTGTTGTCACCTTGATCAGAGCAGGAGGGGAGTGTGCTGGAGGAAGATGAGCTGAGTGCCTCCTCAGGATTGTTCTGCTCTTTGAATGCCAATCGCTTCTTCAAGTGCGTGTTCCACACATTCTTTATCTCATTATCAGTTCTTCCCGGTAGGTGTGACGCGATTTTGGACCACCTAAACAAGATCAAAGCAAGTCATCGTCTCCGTGCCAGATGAGGATCGAGACTAACTTCGAGCTGCTACGTAACGATCATCAACAGGGGTTTCTTAGACACCAAGCATGGAAGTTCATGGTCTTACTTGTTTCCCAACAGCCCATGCAGCTTTATTATGTTGTCTTCTTCCTCCTCGGTGAAGTTGCCGCGCTTGATATCTGGGCGAAGGTAATTAATCCACCTCAACCGACAGCTCTTCCCACACCTAAGCAAACCTTTCCAAACCAAACCGAGAAAGAAAGAGAAGGTCCATGTCAATTCACTGAGATATATGCATATATACGAAGAGGAAATGGACGTGGGAGAGAGGAAAACAGACCGGCGAGTTTGGGCAGAGCGCGCCAATTTCCGTGCCCATGCTTCTGAATATAAGCTATCAACCTCAGGTCCTCTTCCGGCGTCCATGAGCCTTTGTTCAGTCCAACCTTCGCACAGCAAGGTGCTCGGCCACGACCCATCTCGCTCTCTCTCTCTCTCTCTTTGTGAAGGACTTTTGCCTCGTGGCGATGAAGAGTGAGCGTGTAATATATATATACAGAGAGAGAGAGAGAGAGAGAGGGGGGGTAGGAAAGGAGGTGACGTGACGACAACTTGAGTATCACCAAGCTGGGACCCACATTTTGGATTGACTGGTAAAGAAAGATCCATGAAAGACCATTGACGCTTGACATGTACTCCGTTCCTATCCATCTGTCAACAAGAGCTGCACTGTGTACACACAGCACAGCGTCTCCTTCACCAGTAGAAGAAGATGGGAGTTAGGCAAGAGGCCACAGGCGGTCGGTTTAGTGTCGCAAACAAGCACTTTAAGTCACTGGATTCTGTCGGATGATTTCTCAGTCACCTCGACTCCCATTTCTTCCCGTTTATGTCGTCAACTTAGGAGTGACGCAGACAATGACATGACACAGGAAGATTGTGCATCTTGTCGATCGCATTTCCTGCTCTCCTGTTCTCAGGGAGTCTTCTGCACTCCTTCATTCGTTGCTTTTTAGTGTTGGTTGGTCTTGACCAAAACAAAGCACACAGCAGGAACCTTCAAACTCTGTCCATGATCAAATTAAGGGCTCTCACGGCAGAGGAAAGAAAGCAGCAACTGATACAGATTCATTTAGAGAATAGAACGGAATAATTGCTATTGCAGGCTTTCTCTCCACTTTAGTGATTCACTCAAGAAAGAGACCTCGCCATAATTGCTATAATTATTGTTTATTTACTATAATTCGTTTCAGATAAAATTGTTAAGGTGAAGATTTAAGTTCCTCTGTTTGTCATCAAGTATGCAAGTTAGAGCTTCAGTGTCTAGTTATCATTCAACGTAGACTGTCATCTGCTAGATTCATGCTTTAAGAACTCAGGAGAAACACTATGCTAATTTACGCAACGCAAAATGCTTCATAAGAATCACAACAAATAGGAAACCAAAAGAGGAAAAAGAACATTAATACAAGCATTAGGAAACTGGAGATTTCTGCTCTTTGAGCCTTCACACGTGAGCTAATTCCTACATAGCAGCCCTACTGGTCTTCGAGCCTTTTTCTCAGAAGGAAAAAAGTGGAGGAGCTCTAAAGCTTGGTAGGTGAAACCTTGATGCTTTCGGAAAGATGATATGTTAAGTACCTTTCATCACAAACTAGTCTGATGAATTGCAGCTGCTTCAACTATAATATGCTCAGAGCAGCCTCAGAAAGATGAACCGAGAACATATATAGTGGAAGTTTTTTGTGTTTGGTCAAATGTCCCACAATCTAGTCAGCTGAGCTACTCCTTTTCTATCAAGGAAACAATATTTGACCAAGAGTATGAAACAGGGCGTAGGTGTCAGCTCAAGATCACTACAGAAAACCCCACCCCCGACTTAGAAAAGAAGATTGACCTCCACTCGTAGCTCAGAGCTCCATTCCAAGTCCAAGTTAGGGTAACCAACATCTCGTGGCCTTTTACCTCACCATCACCAAACTCTTGACATGCTGCCATAGCTGCAGTGTGAATGTCTACAGTTCAAGTTGTTTGACTCCCTTTAGGGTTTCTACCTACAGGTCACTGACACTTCATCTACCCCTTTGTCCCGTTTCCAAGTTAGATTACTTGTGAGAAGGCGACGTTCAATCATAATTAGAAATGCAGCTTACTGGCAATAAAATAGCTTTGGTCCAAAACGACATCATTAGAATACCCCATATGAACAGTTGAAAGGCAGGTGATGTCGATCGCAGACAGTAAATGCTTTGCTATGGGAATTCCTTTCACATATTGTGTGGAGACACACATCTTCTATCTTTGTATTACTTCAGATGTGGGCTACCGAGTTAATTGCAGGTGTGTCGACATATAATAGTATCACTGATTCATTAGGGTTGAAGCTTTATAAACCTTTTGAAGAAGGAGAAGTCGTGATGGATTAAGTATAGAATTAAGCTAGGCAGGTTTAGGTATGTCTTGACACTGATTAGACGCAGCAAGTTCTGCTAACAATGACTTGAACCAATGGAAAAGTTGGAAACGAACAGAATTCTATATGCTTTGCACTGGTGGTTCTGAAAAATGAAGAGAACTCATTGAATCCATAGTAATCAAGAGTTGGTAATTGTAGTCACGATCTGTCACACTCGAAATGGTTGGAGAAGAAGAACCAGTCCTAAGATAACAAGCAGCTGCAGCTAATTACATGCAATGTGAGCAGGTTTTTAGTTCTGGAGAACATCTTTCTTCTGTTCCAAGTGTTGGTATCTCAGAGCCCCCGACAAAATAAGAGCACCAGTTGCTAATCATGGTTTAGCGTGAGAGATGGGGTGATTAACTGATGAGCTTTCACCCATGATTAAGAAAATTAAAGACACTGTTATCACGTAATAAGCACAGGTTTTCTTGAGCAGTGGGATCTGACAAGTTGTCAACAAAGAAAGCAAACTTCTTCGTAAAGAAAGGTCTGAAACCAAAGTCGCAGTTGAACTTTAGGTTGGTGAAGGAGATGGAAGTGTGTGCGTGTGGAGAAAAGAGAGGTGATCTTTTAGGTCACATCCTGACCCAACAGCAAAAGGTGAGGATGATGCATACAAGACCTCAGGGTTGCGGTTTCTTGATGGTGAGCTTTGGTTGGGTTTAGGTAGACTCAAGACTCATCAGTCTAATATTTCTTGTCCTCTGCTGCTTTTATTGACATAAGAGTGGTGTAAGCCTATCGTAAGCTTAAGATTATCGCTGGCCATTGATTCACTATTGATATAGTGATGATTTACTATAACAATATCTACTTGAGAGTTTAAAATCTTTTTTTATATTTAAGATATTAATGATAAAGATGATAGATATATCATACCCACCTACAAAAGATGCTTCTGTAAGCCAATCCAACACATCTAACCTGGCAAGAAAACTTTGGAAGCCTAATCTAAGATCAAAATGGAGTAGGGACTTATAAGCAACATTTTCCACTGTTGGACTGATAAGAGCTAAGATTATTAGCTGTAACCTGCGATGGCCAATATCATTTAGTTTGTTTCTATGCCTTCCTCCTCATCTCAAACCTTCGTTTGTCGTTCGTCTGCTCGATGATCCTTCGATGTTTAAGTTAGATGTGCGAAGATGGAAAACACTCTTGATGAGTCGATAGTGAGGTGAGTTCTGAGAGCTGATATGACCTCCGAAGAGCCAATATGCAGTAGTGCAGACAATCACTTGTAAACTGTGATCACTGATTTAAGTTTAGGCATCTTAAATTATTAATTTAAACTAAATTTAATTGTTTACTAAGTTAATGAATAACCAATAGTGTTAGAGCTGACGTAAAAAATTTACCAAAGGATAATTTGGTAACTCAATAATCTTCCTGTTACTCGGCAATCTATAATAGTTCAGTGATCCCAAGTCCTTATTTTTCTTCTTTTCTAATCTTCCAGTGGCTTTCTCAGACAAAGTCAATCAGCACCTACTTATTTCTTGATATGATGATTTGAATGAGACACCCAAGAAAGATGCTCTGAAACAACAGAGAGCATTTCACTGTATCCTCCGTTTCTGGTGGCTCTTGGATCATGCTCTTGGATTATAGGCATAAACTAAGAAGCCCCAACACCGAAATGTATGTATCGATCGACCAATGATTCAGTAATCATCCATCACTCTCTAAAAGAAAAGGAAAAAAAAGGCTTTTTTATACACAGAAAACATGGTTTTCTGACATGAAAGAAACAATAATTTAGCAAGATCTTATGCACAGAAAACTGGGTTTGTGAATCCCCATGTACATGAGCCAAAACAAACATGTCATCACCTCCGTCCTCACTGGTTTCATCCAGTATCCATTCATATCACACTCGGGTGAACTATGTTTGTGTGCATAAATAGAGGAGAGGCAGAAGAACGACCAAAGGATGAGGATGGAAAATGGCGAAGGAGAGACCTTTTTATTTCGGTACCTACGAAACAAGGGAGGAAATGGACTCAGGACCAGGAATTGTCGAAGGCTGCGGAGGAGATGGCCTGGGAGAACTCTTGGAAGCTGATGCGCCCGTCGCCGTCGGTGTCGGCCTCCTTGATCATGCCGGTAAGCTCGGTGGCGGTGAGGGCGTGGCCGAGCTTGGCCATGGAGTGGACGAGCTCTGCGGCGGTGATGTACCCGTCGCCGTCGCGGTCGAACATCTTGAACAGCCGGAGGAGTTGCTCCTCGGTGTAGGGGGACTTGGCCGCCACGAGCTCCGGGGAGACGAGGACCACGAACTCGGAGAACTCGACGAGGCCGTTAGCGTTGGTGTCGGCCCTCTGGATGAGGGCATCCAGTTGGTCGGTGCTCGGCTTGAGGCCCAGGGAGCGGAGGAGGGAGCCCAGCTCGAGCTGGGTGAGGCTGCCGTCGTTGTTTCGGTCGAAGGAGCGGAAGATCTCCCGGAGCTCTGCCAGCTGCTCGTCGTCCAACCGCACCGGATCCTCGCCGGCGCCGCCGTCACCGCCGCCGCTCATCTCTCTCTCCTCTTCTTCTCTTCTCGGTCTTCCCGATCGATTATGATCGATGACCGCGTAAATCCCAAACAAATCGGATCGATGTGCCGCCAAGATCGGATCTTTGGGGAGGATCTCTTACCAAGATCAGATCTTTAAGGCTGGATAAGGATCAAAGGATGGAAATCTAGTCGGCCAATATAGCCTGATTTTTCACCGGATCGGATCGGCGGCATCTCAGTGCTTCGAGGCGTGGCCGACCGATCTCGTTGGATCTGCCGCCGGCGTCGGGGGAGCAGACGAGAGAAATTAAATGTACGGAAGGGAGGGGAAGAATCAAATGGGCTATCACCAGTGAAGAGAGTCGGTGATCGAGTACGGAAGACGATTAATTCTGTAAGATAATGGAATCAGAATTAAATAAAGGATAATAATAAAAGGAAGCCATGCCGTGATTGCTGGGGCGGCACGATTCGACGGCCACTCCGTCAACCGACCACGATCGGATATATTCGATAACAGATTCGTGAATCTATTTCCGCTTCGTGCATATCTTTTGCCGCTTCGTGCGTATCTTTTGCCGTTTCGTGCATGTGTTTTCGGAAATGATGGAAAGGAAATTTAGGTAATATTAGATTTGGAGGCATGTACATTATACCCGGCTCGGCTCAACTAACCACAAGGCCTCATTGAACCTTGTCCTGCGTGCTGTTGCTGCTTATATCAATTTGGCCGAATTAGAGTATTTTCTCGATCATGTTTGATATTGAGATGGTCTATTTTTATAATCAACACAATGTGATAAATTTATACAGTTTATCTTTTTAAGCATTATTCTTTAGAAGAGATTTTTTATTTTTGTCTTGAAGGAATACAATTCAAGATTTGCTGCTTAGTCGAGCAAAACTTTCTCCAAGGGGTTCGAACCATCCTTCACGTCAATTTGATATTTGATATTTGATATGGTCAATCTTAATTATCGACCCAATACAATAAAATTGATGTTAGGTTAGTCAAAACTCTCGTTGTGGGCATAAAAAAATCGTTCATAGGAAGTAAGATGACATCAACAATGACCTACTAACTCATCCGACAACCCACTATCACCTAGACGAAGATGCGGGTGCGAGAACCCACAAATCTTCCTTTCCTACTAGAGGGCGATAGGGTCACGATCTTCTACCCCTGACCAATTATAGTTTTGGGAAAGAAAGCACAAGTCAATTGCCAGGAGCAAACCCTTGATGGTAAAACTTATTTCCCCTTTTGTCGATCGCTTAGCACAGGCAACCATTGTCCACTTATCCCGAGCAAGCACTAGCCTTGATAAACAACGCCCTTATGGTCGTCTTTCACTGACGATGCATCATAGAAAGATGCACCAGCTTGTTGTCGGCATGAATGAACTCGTAAATGATGTATGGGTCCACTTTGATCAGCCACTAGTCTCCCTCCATCGATTACTCGGGTATCGAAATCGACCCCCAAAGCTTGGAGAGGGGATCGACGTACAAAAACCCTACTATTCCCACTCCCTTTAAAATTAACTTAATTATCGAAAGGGTCCGATCGAAAATTTCATGATGATGATCACTTATGCAAGATTATCTTCCCTCACTCTAACCACTTCTTGTGACAGTCACATGAATCATCAAGACAAACTTTCACCTTCGAGATATAATCAAATCATGACTGACGACTCTCCGAAAGCATACCTTGAAAAAACTGTTTTTATAATATTGATTTTGTAACATTGATTACAAAATATTGTATATATGTTTTATGAAGATACTTTCTTTAAATGTTACGCTCACAAGGTATGTTCAATTGTTGCTTCGTTGTAATCTCTGAAAGCTGTGATACGATATACTCCGCGCTTTGCCATGTCGAGTCCAACCATATATTAGATATAATTGCACATTTATTCTCTGCGGAAGTTGTGAGAACTGGGAATCACGTAAAGATAAGACCAAGTACTAAGGTTGAACATTCAAAAATACCTCGAGATACTTCAAAGATACACGCTACAAAGAGACTGCAAATTATCTCTAAACATTATTGTGAACAGTTCATCATGCTATGGAAATCCACCCGGACATCCAACATCTTCAAAAAGCTTGCTTTAATCAGTTTAAAAGAACTGATCATCACATATACATACAGGCAGGTTTTTTGAAGTTGAATCTCATCAAGTATGCAGCATCCACTGTGCGATGTCCTTGCGGAGAACACCTTCAGCTCCGCCAATAATTCTACTATGAACTATGGCTGACGAATTGGGAATGTACTGAGAAGCATGCCTGTACTGGCCATTCAACCCTGCTGGTTTCATAGGCTGCATCATCATGCCTATAGTTGGGAAAGTTTTCATGGGGATGTTCCAGGGAGTAAAGAAGGATCGACCTCTCTTGACCTGATCTGTGATGCGTACAATACTCCTCCCTGTTCGCAGCAGCTGACTACGGCTTGCAGCATACTTGGACATGCAGATACTGCTAATTGGAGGTTTCCCACTATGGACACCAACTTGTGCTGATGGTTTCGTTGGATCGAGCCAACGAAGGACAGAGTTCCCTATACTCCTCCCGGCTTCCATGTCCTTGTGTTGTATGCTTTGAACAACTCTGACCACCACATCAAAAATACTGCGCGTCCTCCTGCACACAACAAAAGCCACATAAAACAAATACAAAACTCAAGGGGCTGTTTTGCTGCAGCAAACAATAAAAACATCTCTACCTATGTTTTCATTAGTCCATAAATGATAAAAGGGGAGCTGGCATTTCACAAATGGATGATTGTCACTTTGTAAGAGAAGTCAAATTTGGGCACTTGATCTCAACAAGCAAATAAGCATCTTCATATCATTGTAACATTTTAAGACTAAGCGCAATAAAACTGCCCCACCAAATATGTAACATGAAGTCTTAGTTGTAGTTGCATGTTTTCATATATACATATATGTTAATTTTAATTAGAATACCAAATGTTACAAACATGGCAGGAAGACACTAGTAAGCTCGTAGATGTTCAGTACTTTTAGCACTAACAACAGTGAATTAGAAGCAATAACATGAAAAGTACAATAAATAGATAGTTAGAGGTGGAAGGTTCCATAGTTCTTAACAAGCCAAGATTGACCTCTGTGGATTGGCGTGGGATGATGAAGATGCTTCTATTTCCATAGGTCTACACATTTGGATGTGTACATCCCGGTAGTTGAGGTATAAAAGTAACACAAATAAGTCAGATTAAGTACATTGTCTGCAATACATTTTTTTAGTGTGTCTGTGTTTATGTAGCAACTTTGTTATCATATTTTATTCTTTATTTCATGGTTAATCCAAGCTGCATCAAATGTCACGGTTAAGATAACTGCATCAAGTGCCTAACCTATAGTCAAAATATTAGTCTATATCAGTCAGCATGGCAGCCATTGCAACTAATGAAGAAAAATAACCACATGTTTAATGATTATATGAACTAAATAATTATAAAGTCCTATTTCTCTTTGTACAGCAACAATGAATTTAGTGGTCATAAAAACAGGAGCTACTTCTGCATAATCATGTATTATATGTACTAAATACTTATAAAGTCCTTTCCTTTTTCTAGTATAGCATGCATTAACTTAAGTAGTCACAAAAAAAAGGTACAAACACCTGCAATAACCATATATCATGCATGTGCTTGTTAACCCTAAACCTAGATTACAAAGATATCAAACATGTTTATTTATTATTATGAAAAATAGTTCATTCAAAGAGATAAAACTTCTCTTCATTGTTTGTCTAGATTCTGTAAGTTAAATCCCTTTGTAACACAACAATGCCAAACCAAATCAAAAGTTGTATACCAAACCAGGCTTCAACTATAATAAAAATATATATATATATATATAATGTCTGACATGTTAATATACAATTGTCAAAGGTGGCCAATATGTTTCCTTTTGAAACCTTGCATTAGGCTTATTTCTTGAGGGCACTGTTTGTTTGTCCCAGGAAAAAAAAAACCTATGTAATGAATGAAAGCTTATGAGACAATTAGAAAAGATGTAATCAACGTTTAACAAACAGGACATATCACGGTATTCTTCATACTGAGAGAGAGTACATAATGGGGATGAAGATCTGAGTGAAACTGCAGGGCATTCTTATTCAGCTTACACTGGAACTTCCAATGGGTATGCAATTTACAGCAAAGAACACTAATATCAAGTTGTTGTAGGGCGATGTACCACCAAATGTGAAAAGAGCCGTGTGATCTCAGTGATTTCCAGCCATTTCAAGTGTGGATCAAGAATGACTTCGTCATCTCATCGAGAGGGGTAATAATGGGAACACAAGTGGGAGAATGAACAAAGGGCAACATCAAGATTGTCCATTTTATCTTGTAGTGAGTCAATATCTTAAGAGATTTCCATAAATCAACTACTGCGACTCTTCCAGCAAATCTCTCCGCGAAAATAACAATCGAGAGCAAAACAATTGGGACGTCAAAGTCAAGAGGAGATGGGCACCTGTGGAGGAATTGCCTGGTCTCGGGGTGACGAGGGCCGACGATGCGCCGCTGGATCCTGAGGGCGAGTCGGTAGGTTCGCCTCAACCCCAAGAAGTATGCCGTCGCCAACGTTATCTCCCACAGCACCATCTCCTCCCCCTTCTCTCTAGCTCGCTTTCTCTCTCTCTCAATATTAGAGAAGTAGGGGGGCAAGTAAGCCGTAATTACCTACCTGCAATAGACCATTCCGCCAAGGAACATTTCTTGGAGAGGAAGAAGGCGGCGGAGCGAAACAATAAGAAGCAAGCCGGAGGCGATTGTTCTCTGTGAGCATTAACTCGCGCGACAGATAAGATAGGTCAAAATAAGGAAATTTAATCCTCTATTAATTTAATATTAATATGTTTTTCTACTCTAATAATTCTCGATATACGTGTTTTACTTGATCGACGGACAATATTAGCCCATCTGGTGGGCGATCCACAGTTATTATTTCCTGTGGGGTTTAATCCACGGAAGAATCAAACGATACCAATTCGACTCATCCGGTAACCCACGCGGATCCCACGTTTGCTGTCAGATCACGTCGTGGGTAGCATAATGGGCATCACGGAAAAGGTAACACTCGCATGCGGCATCAGTTGAGTGGATAATGGAAATTGTGGGCGCCGGTTTCTTTCGTGAGGTAATCGATGGAAGGCTGGGCCTCGTGTGGGGCCCATTAGATTCAAGTTCATGTGGCGGCCCAGTCACGAACCCAAATGTCAACCCATGCAGCATACATGTCAACCATGAGAGAGCGAGGGAGAGAGGAAGCACGTCTGACGCATCTTCTATTCACAAGATAAGCTTAAGCTTACGACATCGGAGCATCACAGCGTATCTTTCTAGTCGATCGAGATCGGAGCATCACAGCTCAGACCTTTGTCGCGCTTAACCGGCACGACTCCCCGACGAAGGATCTGCACTTTGAACAGTATATTATTACTGTCCATGAGTTCCAAGACACAACCATCTCCAACCTTGAGATCAGTATCCAAGGCAAAGTTCTTCCACCCAGAGCACAGTCGCCTCAGGATCCCTTTGCAGCTATACTTCATCTTCCATGTCCTATTCCCGTAGGACAGTGTTACAGGGACACAAGTGGCTGGAAGAAATGGATAAAACCTCTTCGGAAACAACTGATGAATCAAGGCGAAAGGTAATGTCAACAAGCTTTCGTGATCAGAGAGCCATTTGGAACAGAAATTAACTTACTACTTGGTAAGGGTCATGCACATGACTCCATGAAACCACGAAAGTGAGGAATGGTTTTCCCGAGAGCGGCACGATTTCATTTTTCTCAGCGGATGCAGGAGGTTCTGTTGGCGATAGCTCAGCATCACCACTCTCACAATTCTTGCCGCGGCTTGAATCCATGGACAACCTGCAAAGGCTAATTCTGAAAGGATATGCAACATTTGTGTAGAATATTTCATGAGTCCAGCAGAAGAAACAGAAAAAGAATAAGCTTTGAGTCTTCTGGCGATGCTTTGAAGATAGTATGAGAAGGATTAGCAAAGACGATAGAGAAGATAAAGAATGTACCTGAGAATGCAATTTGAGCTCTTCTCTTCACCGCAGACCAAAAACCACGCACTCGGAGAAAAGGAAATCAGGAAGATCACAAAGAATAAAAGGATTCCTGTCTCGTTATTTTCTTTTTCTTCTCTGCGTAGATTCTTCCTCAGGGAAAGCGTTCATATAAAGGGAAACTGAGAGGACACCATTAAGGCCCGCCATCGAACACCGGGAGCACAAAGCACGAGAGATTCTGCAAGATTTCAGCAAGCTTTTGATGGGACCTTTCGCTGTTCTTTCACGTTCTGTTGCGGCCGCCCGATGGAACTCGACGACTCGGTTGTCCCCAGGCCTACTGGGGTGGTGCGCCCCAGTTTCCATTATCGTTCGTACCAAACACCGGCCAGTAAATTGTTTGGCGCTGGCTGGGCCAAAACACTGTAAATGTAAATAAAAATATATTTATATCAAATCAAAGAAATTTATCTAATGACAATTATGTTTTTTTTCCCCCTCTGTTCTTTGTGTAATCTAGAAAACTAGATTAGAATTATCCAAGATATTGTCTATTATTTAAACAAGTGTTAAACCAGCTCGAAATTTATATCCTGTTGAGATCATAATAGTATGATCTGAAGAAAAATAGTATGTTCTCCCATGCAGATCTTTGATACAAAGAAACTTTGGTGACAACCGATCATAATGCTTAATCAATATCACTTGATATGACATCAAGTACGATCAAGGTGAAAACAATCCTATTTGATGCCATTTTATATGGCATTCAAGCCAAAAATGTGATCAGAAAATTCTGCAGAAAATATGTATCGGCGATGAGTTGTTCCCCAGGCTTAATCATGCAAGAAAGAACTCAACCATAATTTATTGAAGGCAATTGGAGATCAACAATCAGCATCAAAGTTGTCGATGGTACCAACAGAGTTGCAAACGAGCATTTAGGATTCGGAGATCAACAAGTAGAGGCCACCAGATGGGAGATTATTCCGTCTCCGAAGGATATGAGGAAGACCACCCGCTTACGTAAATCCAACATAAACAATCCAATTTTTCTTCTTTTGTATTTATATATGTCTTTTCCGATGATTTTGCAGTCCAAGTGATAGATTTGATACAAAGAGATCTTTGCCGTTTCTGTAACAAAGAATCGATAGCAGAGTGCGATTGTCTGTGCGACAATCTATCGTTCACCAGATCTACATTAGATCCCTCCATCTGGGGCTGGGGATGGGAGGGAATCCCGAGGGCGATGGAGGCCACGAGAAGCCCGGCGAGAAAGGCGGCAACGGACGAGGCCCCAGGATCCCCGACTGGGGCAACGGCGAGAGAGCGAAGGTAGGGGTCAGCGGCGGAGGGTACTGGAACCCTGGCGAAAGCAGCGGGAAGGGTGATTTCGGGGAGAGCAGGTTGAAGAACGCGGTCGGCGACGGCGGCGGCAGCGGCAGCGGCAGCCCGGATGGAGGGGTAGGGGGTAGGGGATTGGGGTGATGACGCGCGTCCGCACCCGGGGACGGGAAGGGCCGGTGGGGGGTGTTGGAGATTAGGAGGGAGTACTCGAGGTAGCGCATGTAAGCGGAGATGGGGGATTCGGCGCACGCAGTGGCGGCGGCGGATGGCAGGTGGGTGGGAGGGACGGGGGCGAAGGCGGGAGGGGAGCGGGGGGCGGGGACGAGGGGCAGCGGCGGCGGACGGATCTTGTGGAGGCGGACGCTGGGGGGCCTGGGCTGAGGGGGGCGGTGCGGCTGCGCAGGCGCAGGCGCAGGCGCGGGGGAGTCGCGGGAGGGAGTGCCCGTGAGCTGCTGCACGATGCTGCGGAAGTCGTGCTTGTTGATGTTGTACACATGTGGCTGCTGTTGCTGCGAAGAAGAAGCGGTGGTGGGTGGCTGGCGGTGGAAATGGGAAGCGCTCTTCCGGATGCTCTTCCCGAGCTTGTTGACACCTAAATACGGCTGCTGCTGCTGCTGCTGCTGCTGACTGCTGTTCGATTGATCCATCTCTCTCTCACACACCCGTCGGTCAAAATCTTCTTCTGGAGGAAACGCAGGATATCAAGGTTGCTTCCGTGTCTCGTAGACCGACTGCTTTGGCCGCCGGAATCCGGTCGAAACACGAAGAAGATGAGAAAAGAGCGATCGCAGTTAGGTAGATCTGCGGCTGGTCCTGCAAGTTCGATTGATTGGCTGCAAGAAATCGATTAAGAAGAAGAAAAACCAGATCTGTTTGTGGCCTCAGCAAATCTACCACCGCTTCTTGTCATTCTCGGGTTCACATGACATGATTATTAAAGTATCACACCACCATCATCATCATTATCATTATTATTATTATTATTATTATTATTATTATTAGTAGTAGTAGTGAACAAAGAAGCAAAGAATCGATCTTTTTGACTCTCTTATATATTTTATTTACTTATCAAGAATAAAGTTAATTATTAGGAGACATTCTGGATAAGAGAGCTGCTGTGTCTAAGCATACGGTGGGTTGTGCGATACAATCTCTACTCTCATTGCTGTCACGAAATAAACTATTCGAATCAAGAAAAACAGATAATTGCTAATGCCAAAAATAATGGATTTATTATGAAAACATCTTAAAAAAGAAAAGAAAAGTTATATCATTTATCAAAAGCCTAATCGATGACACAGCCAATCCATTTGCATGTTGATTGATCGTTCCTATTGATAATTTGACCGAGTTTGGCCAGCAAAGTCTGATCGTGTTCACGAGCAAAATCTTTGTCTTCATCATTTATTTGTTTATATATTAAAAATATTAATAATAAATACGAATAAGATATTAACTGTAATAATTTTTTTTATTTGTACAAATATTTGAGCCATTTTGTTTTTCACTCGTCTCATATGGACCTCTTCGAGTTAAAACAAGAGTAATTATAGATTATTCCTTATATTCAAGTCCTTATATTTTAAAAAATTATATTAACATTTCTATAGCTACAAAGGTGAAACATCTAAGTTTATTTACCCTAACGTCATCAATTTATCAACAAAAATATAAATATAAAAAATAAAAAATAATTTTAATATTTCAGTTCGTGGCGACAGATGACGACATCGTCGAGGCCACGAGTAACTGTTATGGATAAGAAGAGTGACGGTGAGAGGTAAGGCTTGCTATGCGTCTATATCGATAACTTATTCGTTGCTTGGTAACTATATCGGCATCGATACAAATGGTAATGTTGTCATGGCATCAACAGCGAAGAGAGTGGCTATCTTGCCGCTGACTTATTGGGTGGATCACTTTACTTGAAATTAGAGTTGTTTGAGCTCCTATCACTCCCCTCACTACTGTATTAATTCTAGCGTTGAGATGAAAAATGAGAGTTAGGGGGTTTTATTGAAGGAAATCTATTCGTGTCATCGACCGGAAGAAGCTATGAAAGTCTGGCAGGCGAGTGATTATTAAGCTCTTGACCAATGTATCTGATAGTGATAAAAAAAGTATCTTGGAATTTGAATAAGTTGTTGCCGTAATTATCGAGCGACCCTTACCTCTTGTTTTCGCTCTTTTTATCCACAATTGTCATATACAACTAAAGCAACGTAGTCGTCCGTCATTGTTAATTAGAATATTAAAATTTTTTTATTTTTTATTTTATTTTTTTTTAATTTTATTAGTAAAATCGATAATATTAATAAATAAATCTATCATTTTTATAAATATAAAGTATTAATATAGTTTTTTAAAAAAATTATAAAAGTATATATAAATATATATAAAAATATATAAAAAAAATATATAATTATTTTCATATATTATTATAATATATATGAAAAATAATTATATATATGATAACGGTAAAAAAATGTGGGTCTTGAAATTCAATACCGAATAAGCCGTTGACACAATTGTCGAACGATCTGTATCTTTTGTTTTTGTTCTTCTTATCCACGATAGTCACCTACAACTCCAACGACATCATCATTTATCATAGTCAATTAAAATATTAAAATTATTTTTTTTTATTTTTATATTTTTATTAGTAAAATCAATAACGTTAAGATAAATAAATTTATCTTTTTTAAAAAAAATATAAAAATATAAAATATATAAAAATATATAAAAAAAACTATTTTAAAAATTTATAATTAACCCAGTACACAATATTCCTGTTATTTTGTAATTGTCGAGACCCCAAAATAAATGTTTCAAGTTTGCGATAGAACAAAACAAAGAGCGCCTTTGATAATAAAATAATTATCTGACAAGCTCTGAGATCAGAAAAAGATGTATAATAATGAATTCTTTTTTACACGCCACAAAGCTGTAAAAAGAGAGTTTGGAAAGACGTGCATGAAAGACGTGATTTATGTCGACGATACAATTGGAGGCGATCTCTTCGCCGATATGTTGGTGACAGAATTAGATATATAATAATGATGTTGAGATTTCCAACTGCAACACCACCTCTTTGTTCGAGGCGATGTTTTCGCCCGCCTTTCTCTCTCTGCATCCTCCTTCCCCATCTTTTACTCTCTCTCTCTCTCTCAACCTTTACCTTTTGCTCGGTTCCAAAGCATTGTGGATTGACCAAATCCAAACAAATCACCCTTCTCCCCAACGCACATGACTCTCTGCCCCGCCTCTTTCGCCATCAGCAGCTGCTAACCCCGCACCACATCTTGCACGTCGTAAGAACACTTCCACTCCCACTTTGCATTTGTACGATGACTTAACAACATTGTTTCCTGTGTCGACGACGGGAGAATGTTCCACATTTCTTTTGTCTTCTTGAATCTGTGTTCCCTTTGTAATCAAGCCTCCTCATGCAGACCGTCCTGTTACCTTGTGGATCTGTTGCATGTTGTCTGTATTATATGCTGATGATGAGTGTGATTTTGAGCGTGCATTGCTCGCTTCTATATCGACGACGGGATTCAATAATCTATATTTTCTTCAGCATCTTCGATTTATTTTGCTTGCGTGATGTATGATATATAGGGTGGCTTCTTCTTATTTCGCCTTTTTGTAATATGTATGTTGTTCTACATGCATATTATCCTGCTTTATGTGTTGATTTTTCTCGCATTTCCAAGTGGATCTGTTGCATACTGTGCTTGTAATACGCTAATGAGCATGATCTGGAGGAGTTTGCAGTGAAAGATAATTCTTATATTGCCTCAGTTTCTTTTTCAGCCATGCATGTACGAGTCCCATTTATCAACATGCAGATTGACATTATCATAGGCATCCTAGGAGGTTTTCGACTAGGATCGTAAATGTAAGCCGCAAGAACAAAATGTGGAACCTGGCAGCATAATCTATTTAGGTAAAAATGGTGGATCTCTTGTGTGTTCTTCGTGTCGGCACCACGGCAATTGTGCTTATGGCTGAAGTAACATTTGTCTTGAATCTTGTATTCTTGCATGTGATGCAGAACAAGTCCTGCATTTCAACTTCCTGAAGAATTACCGGTTGCTTGTATTCTTGAGGAGAAAATGTAGTGGTAAATCAATGTCATGATAGGTAATATAAGAATTTTACCTGAAAAGATGTGTGTTAGGACTTACTTTCCTAAAGAGGATTTCTTCTTCTATTGCAATTCCATATTGGGACACTGCTGTAACGATAGATTTCCCCTATAAGAAACAGCACCGAGCTGCAAAATTGCAATCAAGATTTAGCTTGATGAAGATATGTTCAGGGAAAAAGTGGAATATCATACTTACAAGGTAAATTGTCCACTTATATGTTCCTGATGCCTAATATTTCAATCAGGGAAAAAGACTTTTATCTCTGAAAGGTCTAGAACTACTCGGCAATGATATAATGGAAAAAAAATGAAAATATGGTGTCAAATGATATTTGAGTTTGTGCATGGACTTTCTTTATTCTTTGTTTCAAATGACTTGAGAAACTGATTTTTATGTTCACATTTACCACAAAGTTCCAACAAAGCGGCTGATTGTCTGTTTGATGATAGACAGCAAGTATTGGTCACCTTACTGGATGGCAAAAAAGTTCATTTTCAGCATGATCTTTGTGTTTCTCTTCGATTATGTTTCTACGATGTTCAATATGTAGTGTGTTTTCTGCATGGCATGGCCACACTCTATGATCAACAAATCTTGAAAACCATGGACCAGCACCCCATGTCGAGCTGAAGATGACAGATAATGCTAGTGCCCCAGCTATTTGCTGAAGTCCTTCAAATAGGTCATTCTATAGTCTCTTAGTCTCTGTTTGTTTGTCAGCATAATTTTAGATTGCAAGGTTATCTTAACAAGCTGTGTCTTATTGCGTTAATAAATTATTATCTAAAGCCATGGTTAACGACAAAAATTGTTCTTTCATGTAAAAAGCTTGTTCCGTTGTTAGTATGGATGCATATATGGCTAGATATTTCACACTGCAAAGATATGTATGTAGGCAACCAATGCATTGTGCATGAAATCAAGCAATTGCAGATATGGAATTTGGAATGTGTTCTGAGATGTGAAACTATAATTGTTATTGGTTTGATTCTTGTTGAGGTATAAAATGAACATTTGGTCGATGCTTTCAATGCTTTTCTTAATATCTCCTACATGCAGGACTGGCTTGGATGCAGGTAGGCAGCTCGGTGGTGTAGTATTTGCTGCCATAGGATTTGCATTAGCATATCTTCAAGATGAATGCAGGAGATACAGATGGAAATATTAGTGTGGCATGCACATTTGGTGAACAACAGGTATGAATTCTTATAGCACTAATACTTTTGTTTTTTCTTGTACTTATGGGATATTTGTTGCTCTCAAGAATGGATTATCCACGAGTCCTTTTCGCATCAGGTAGCTCACTTGCAAGCAACCAAACCATGTACAACATGCAAACATGTAACTAAACTCCTACATGCTGCAAGTGGACTTGCCAATGAAATGTGCATGTCATACTTGCAGATTGGGTTACATGTCAACATTGGATCACAATACCCTCTTCATCCTCTCAATTGTCATCTACTCACAAGTTGATCCCCACATGAGCACTGGACATTTCCTCTTTTACCTAAAGTTGTAACTGCAGCAAGCAGCCTTTATATAAAGGCAATAAGAAGCCTCCACATGCAACTTCTGAATGTAGCATTTGCCCCAAACTTTTGTTTTCACAGTTTGTGTTCAAGACACTTTCGAATAAGCCCTTCTGAATATAGTGAGTATTTAAGAGGTAAGGCCTCTATAAATAATTGGTTACCATCACAATATGAATAACCTCTGAAGCTTTCTAGATAGAAAGGCAAATAAAATGAGAATGCATGATAATTAAATAGAGACTAAAATCATCTTTGATTTGTGCAGGTTTTTCCTATGCTTCCGGTGGTAACTGATGATATTATGGCCCGACGGCTCAAGAACAGGGAGCGGCAGCGTAGGTACAGGGCGAGGAAGCGCCTTGAATCAGATATGAAAAGGTCATGCTTGCTGGGCCAACATACAGCACTGGAAAACGAAACACAAGTTGATTTTACTACTCTTCACTTCAATTCCGGTGAAATTTCATTTCCATCCGAAACAAACGTGAACATCGCTTCTATGATGACCGAGGCATGCGTGTACAGTGGCAGAAAATGGAAAAAGGATGCAAGAGAAGCTCATGCATCTAAAGAACCTGAAAACATGTTGCACTGGTCACTTGTACACATGAGATCACCATCAGAATCGGAAACCGCCGTTTGTTACCGCATACATCAAACTAGTAGAAGAAATTGGAAAGCTGATGCAAGAACAAAATCAAAGACCGGCAGTCATGGATGAACATACCAAGTGATACTTGTGTTTGTTTGTCTTTGTCAGGTACTCCTACTTTGTTAGTGCTAAACAAGAATCTTACATCAGTAGGTAAGACTTAATGGATGCCAGTGTAGTATTTTCTCCCTTTCACTACCTTTCTTCCAATGTAACTGTACTCAAGCCAAATATTTCATATGGAAATTTTTGCTATAGGCTTGTTCTAGTTTGTTTTATCATCATGTGTGTGCGTATGAAATTGTACATAAATCAGGATGCAGTATTTTCTTGATTGTGAGCAAAATTTATCTTTCTTAAGGCCCATTCAAGGCCCAATCCTGGCCCATCTAGAGGCTGACTCTTTCTTCCATGGCCCCATTGACCACAGTTAAAATTGAACCCTTTCTATTTGGTTGGACTGACAAATGATTGTAACTCGGAAACCAATGTTTGAATAAGCTGGTGCACTGAATGTAGTCGCCCGCCATTGATTCCGTTCTCACGAGAAGAGATTTTCCACAAGACGAAGACCAACCACACGGCCTCTCCATCCAAGTAGCAATCATCGTATAAATCGTTTTCAGAAGTGATTGCTATCGAGATCAAAAGATTGTTATTATATAATAGAAACTATGGCTCTCATTTTCTCTCACATGGCTAATGTGCATTACTAAATAACTATAGTAATCTAGCTTAATGTAATGATATATATTAAGTGAGAAATCAAGTCCACGACCTCTCCATCCAAATAGCAATCATCATATAAATCGTTTTCAGAAATGATTGCTACCCAACTTTTCTTACATGACTAATTTGCATGATCAAATAACTTTCGACTTCGTTAGGAATGTATCTTAATGTAATGATATGATTTATAGCTTATATATATGGTAACATTTTACTTATTTATTTTTTTTAAAATATTGTATATTCATTTATATGATTATATAATTTTATTTATTACATATATGAATCATACAAATTTTTTTTTAATACTCTATGCATTCATTTCTATTTTATTTATTTATATTTTAGTATATATATATATATAAATAAATATTAAAAGTATTAGAAGGATAAATTTATTATATAATATTTAATAAATTTCAAAAATATAATTTTATCAAATAATACTTAATTTATTTATTTTAAAAAATAAAATATATTAAATATATTAAATATATTCCAGAATGCGGCTTTATCCATACTAATATAATATTGCTAATGCTATGTCGACGAGCTGTCTTAATTTATTAGAGTATGCCAAAAATACCTTTTCCACTTACTTTCTTATATATATATATATATATATATATATATATATATATATATATATATATATATATATATATATATATATATATATATATATATATATATATATATATACACCCCCTTTTTTTTTATCCTCTCTCTCTCACACGTGTGTGAGGGGGAAAAAAAAAAAAAGAGAAGGAGAGTGTGACTATTATTATATTTATTTTTATTTGTTTTTAGGCAAAACCCAAAAGAGCGTCCACGAGTGCGCGCGCGCTTTCGTGTGTCTCT